GCTACTCGTCCGGGTGGTAAAGTCATCATGGTGGGTATGGGCACACCGATCCAGACAATTCCAATGTCTGCTGCACACCTAAGAGAAGTAGATATCCTGGGAATATTCCGATATGCGAACACATACGGAACCGGCGTAAGACTACTCTCTACTCAGGGGCAGGGTGGAGCTGGCTTCACCTTACCAAGTCTCGACGACATGGTAACCCACCGATTCAAAGGTCTTGGCGCTGCAAAACATGCTTTCGAACTTGCTAGCAGGACTATGGATGATGACGGCAATCTCGTGTTGAAAGTCGTCATCGAGGCTTAATTCTCCTCGTCTACTTGATCATCATGGATACCCTTCCCCTATCTCCTTTCTTTCGAAAAAACGAACTCAAGCAACAACAACATAGAATACCTACCGACGAAGCAAAAAAAAAAAAAAAGCATTTAGAAGCTTGGGCGACATTGTACTGGTGATTCGGGAAGCAAAAACTTTTATGAACGGCTTGATGGCCTGGTAATGAAAAGTACTGCAATAATTTTCGAACTGAGAAGCACATCTGACATCAGTTCACCGGCTGCGCCGAGATATTTCCTTACGTGTTTATCTTTTTATTGTCATTTTATCACTTTGCTCCATTACGACAAGGCATGGGATGGGTAGACTGGTGCCATTGAGGCTGGGCTGGTGTAGCGCGAACTGGAGATTCGCAACATTCGCATTGGGTGCAGATATTCTGTCGTTTATATCCCGGGGATGCCGACTTTGCGACTCGGCTGGTTAATCTCAACTTTTCTTCACTTTTATTTTTTTCCCCCAGTCTCCCGGACAGAGGGGTAATACCATGATGACTAGCAGAAGCGGATCAATAATTGTCATATAGTTTTAATGGGCCCGATGGTTTCATAAACTAATCAATTAATCATTTGCCTCGTACTTTTTCAGTCCATCGTGAACCTCAATAAGCCTTGTTGTTAACTTAAAGACCTATTGATATCATAATCCCGTCGTAACTCGATTTTGGGTCGTTGCCCAACACACAACTTGCTTAACCTAACCTCTAAAACGCCTTGCAGATGCAAAGAACCATATTGCGAAGTTTACCTCGTCTTGAATGGACGCCTATCCCCTAACAACTATGTCACTTATCAAATCGCAAGGTCTCCCGGGTTAGAATGACCAAAGCCTAGGGGTGTCGAATTTTCTAGCATTCGTTTGTAGTGAGCTTTCGTGCTCTCAACAACACTGTGCTTCTTGCCGACATCGCGGGCCTCCGTGACACTCTGGAGCACCTCGTTTAGGAGCTCCATCAGGTGTACATCGTTGGCCTCGCTGATCATCTCCTCTTCGTAAGCATTCGTGTTGGATGGTACTAATAGCGATAGTCTGTTGACGAGGGCCTGTATAGATCGGAGGATTGTATGGGAAGGAGTCGTCTGTTGACCCTCGGAGAGATTTGTCGCGTTGTTCGGAGATAGGTAGGACGGGGGTAGTCGTTCGAGATATGTTGTGAGAAGGTTAACGCGAGATTGCAACATCTTGATAGCATTTGCCTTGGCCGTGAGTGCCGCAATCAGTTCCTCATCCTCGCTTGTCAAGATGTGCTCTTCTGATTTCTCGTCCTTATCTTGAGCTTCTGTCGCTTTCGCAGGCTGTTTGCCCTTCGGGTCTGACTCTGGTTTCTTCTGGTGCCTGGGCTCGATCACCGTGGCGTTTCCAGCACCTCGAGCCACGAAATCCATGCTTATCATCTCCGCCTCACCTGTCTCAACCGAATAGGGTAGCTCCCTGAATTTCAACTTTAGAGGGGGGTCTCCGTCTCGCATCTCCTTGTCCTCGCCCTGATCTGCCTTCGGTTCATCAACCTCATAGTTGGATTCGTAAATGGTTAGGGGGAGCTTGCTTCCTGCTGCCTGTTGGACAGCCTCTTCGGGATGAAATCCGAGTAGTAGAGACGACTCATTGTGCTCCGATAGGATCCAGTTGTGAATAGGGAGTATGGATGGAGTCGGACCACTCTTAGGCAAAACGGTATACCAGCCGACAAGATCGAGTTGGGGAGATTTGTGTATTGTTTTCACTATATAATTCACAGTCAGTAACTATGACCTTATGGTAAATAGATAGGGTAGCCTACTCTGCTCTAATCGCTGTGCGAACCAGTTGGCATCAAGAACAATATTGCCATCCTTAGCAATAGTGGCACACTCGAAGGCATGCTCAATAGTAACTTCCCTTCCATTCTGTTGTCCTATTAGAGCGCCAACTACAGGCCCCTGTTGCGCTCTCAGGGTATGTCGTGTGATGTAATCTGAGATTGTGAGAAGGACAAGAGGGTGAAGAACGGCCTGGAGTCCAGAGTCTGAAGACTTCTGTGATGAAAGCAGAGGATTTGGATCCACCACACCCATCTTGTTGATTAATGCTTAACCGGGCCAAATGGGGAAGATAACAAGAATGGAATTTGTGAAGTTAGTTTGGTGAATTGTTTTTTTGGTAAATTGTTTATTGTAAGTTACAAGTTATCGCAAGGCTGCAGCTGTACCTTTAAGCAGTACCTGCCTCTAGGTAGGGATGCCCCGCGTTGGCGTTGGCGTTGGCGGTGCGTTGTGGCTTTGCGTCACTTCAACTGAGGTCCACAGGTCCAGGTCCTTATCTAAGACAGGTACGTACCAGGGACAGGGTACATGTATGGAGGTACCTATTAGAGGGGTCTATGCTCCAGCTTAGCCTAACAATTCCCTCCAAATGTTCTCTTGAATTAACAACAACTTCTTCAACCTCCTGAGGTATTCTATGTTAATGAGAATATCTACTTGGTTAGGTGAATAGGACTCACCTACGGATACCTTTTATTATTTAGTCATCACCTGTACAATGGAGAAGTAGTCTTCAACTATTTCTATACAGGTCTTTCGATCATATTCTCATTTGTTATTGGTATTCTTTTCTCTTTTCAAGACAAGTTACGTGAAATATCGTGCAAGTGCACAAGATCATCCCTTATCCGGCCTCTCCTTGACTATCGTTGACTGGATAGAGATTCGATCTGCCTCTTCCCATTGCTCTTCTACCATGTGCTTTTTGAAAGAGACAAAATGGTGTTCTGTGAGGTCCAACGTCCCTTTCGTCTTTGACTTTGATAGCCTTTTTGTCTTAGTAAATCCTACCTATTTTAAACTGGTCGAATCTGCTCTGTACAAATACTTGGATGACTGGCATCGTTACTCTCTTCTTGGTGATTCGGGCCCTTCGAACTATTACGAGCAACTAATATCTGCCGTTTCATCGGCTGGTCCCAAATTTATGAGCAAACCTCACTCCTAGCAATACATATCTAAGAGTCTTCAGCATCAAGCTCAAGGAAGCACGTGGTATTCAGATATGCCGGGACCCCTTAGCGAATGCTATTCACTTCCTTCTGCCCCGAGGTCAGTTATACCTGCGAAACGATCAGACGATGATGTTCAATTTATATCATCCAAGCCTGTTAAGAGGCGAAAGATGAGCGAGCAAGCTCCAAAACCTACGGTCCAGCAACATAATATATCGACAACGCCTACCACACCTATGCCGCCCGTTTCTATCCAGCCTACCGAGCTCAAAGACTCTGATAGACGGATTAGTACAGGCATGGTTGGCCTCCCTTCAGATTTCAATACCATGGAACTCGCCTCTATGCTAAGAGGTGTGTCTCTCCCTGTACTGGAAAGATTCGTCCTCAACCAACCTTCTCGCGGGCCGAGACCTCCAAGCTCACCCGAGCTCTCGCCCAAGCAGTTACCACGAACAATTGCGCCAGCAATGCTGAGTGCCAATTCCAATGGGAACAGCCCTAGAGGCTCTAGATTTGACGTGGCACCTATGGCATATATGACAATGGGCGAAAATGCAGCCCAGCCAGAATCACATTCTACAAATCCACTGAATCCTACCTCGACAGTCGACCAACTACACGTTTTCAAGGCGTCAGTTGTCCATACACACCCATCATCTCCTATGCTAGATAGGTTGCCTAAAGAGGCAGATCCGAAGAGTTTAGCCATGCCGCCGCCCCCAGTACCAAACGCTGAAATATTGGCGACCCCTAAATCTGCACGAGTTGGTTCCCCGTCGAATAATGCCACTCATATTACTACCCGGTCAGATACAACAAAGCGGCCGTGTCAAGTTTGCGCCAGAATGCGGCAACAAGCAGATCTTGCGAAATTCCAAGGGTTTTCTATGTTCCCTCATAATGTACCACATCACATGCTTCCACACATCGCCTGCCATCAGCCGTTTAGTCAGCATCTTCATCCTCAAATGATGGCTATGGGTCCAAACAGCATGCATTCCCTTAGTCCAGGCTTCGCACCAATCATGATGCCTATCAATAGCAACAATTTCACTACCGTCCCAACTCATATGGCTAGCCCATCGCAGATGCCATCGCAGATGAAAGATCAAGTCCACGAGAAGAATTCTAGGCCAGGCCACACAAATATCAATGACCAAATTCAACCTTCATCAACTTCAGCAACTGGTGAAGCCCAGTCCTCCACGGCCTTAAACCCGGTGAAACCGCCAGCGTCTCTTATCCAACCTACCTATCGCAAGCCATCACCAAACTTAATTGTAGATGTTGCAGAGACGTGCCAGGAGAAATTCCCATTCGAAGATGTCGCGAAAAGACATAACGTACCCGTAGAGAAGGTTTTTGACGTCTTCGCGGCCATTATTCAGGTCCCACTTCTACGGTGCCCGACCGATAGGCGAAGAGCAGGGAAACTTGCTACCACACGTGTTAAAGAGTATACGAAAGTTAAGAAAGCAATTCAAGAAGCCAGTAGCCAGAATGATTCCGACTCTGCAGATCAAATAGTTGTGAAGCCTTTAGATATCGCAAATCGGCTGGGCCAGGTAAATCTTCCGGATGGTTTCAACTCAACCTAGGAGAATCGTGAGAAACTAGGAGAATGGGATATGTCACGTTTGAGAGTTAAACAAAAGTGTAGGGTTAAAAGGAGTGAGATTGTTAGTATGTATTCTATCTATCCGATGTACGATGCTATGCGCACAGTATCTTATTAATCTACGAAGGCCATCTCATTTTACCACGCATTTCTCGGCTAATTGTAGCCAAATGTCTTCTTCTTCCTCACCGTCAATTCTTGGCGCAGCATATTTAGTATGCGAGCTACGTACAATAGGACGTACCGTTTTATCGCTATCCAAGGACTCCTCGGATCCTTGACTAGTAGAGCTAGCATGATCAAGCTTATTGATATACGTCTTCGATCGCCGGAGACGGGGTTGCACTGACGGGGCTTGGCGCTCGCCTTCTTCTCCGTTGAAGACTACTACGTTATCACCGCGGGGGCCGGCGTATTTCTTGTTAGTCCGTAGACGTGGCGGTCGGCTCACCTTGGGTTGCTGTTCCTGTTGCAGCTGGAAGTCTGTTTCCGCTTTGAAGGGATCAACGTACTCCTTCTTCGTCGAACGCAATCGCGGCGGGCCCGAGATCCGCGGCAGCTCTTGTTGCTCCACCTGCGTCTGCTTTGGAGCAGCTCTTTTATGCCGCTGACTTCCCGGAACGGAATACGGTACGTCCTCTTCCCAGACACACTTGCCATCAACCCACCTACTCGTGCCCCTAGGCATTATGGCATCGGGTCCACCACCGGGGTACTCGACATCAGCAGAAGACGAGCACAAATACCGCATCTCACCCATCGCGATGTTCGCCGCGCGCTGCACCACCTCCATACGCTCCAACAGCCGCTTCACCTCCTCCATGTGTCCTGCGCGCTTATGCGCGTACACCTGGTCCATGAGCTCCGTGTACCGGTCCCGATGCTCGCGGCGGACCAGGTTCGACGTGTAGATGGGGTCGCACTCGGCGCAGGAGTCCTCGAGGTAAGCGCGCGGTACACTGAGCTCAGGCTGCGGACACGGTTTCCGGCGTCCCTCGTCGCAGTATTGCTTGTAGTGCGTTAGGACGTGTCCACAGGACATCTCGGTTTGCGTTCCGTTGCACATGATGTATTTTCTTTTTCGACTTTAAAGAATAAAATGCTATAAAATTACCTTTTTCTAATATCGAGTCAGGTTTCTACTTCTGCTTCGATATGTTCGTATGCAAGTATCGTTCTTTCGTTGGTTGATTTATGGAAGTCTCTAGATGGATAGTCGCCCTAGCACATTAAATAGGAGGCATCTAGTAGTAAGAAGACATTGTTTAGACTAGAGCCTCTCTAAGAGATAAAGAACAGGGTTCTCTTCGATTCTTATTTCTATACTATTGTTTAATCTGATGTCTTTCTCTATACCAACAAGTGGATTGTGAATAGTAGCTTTCACGACAGCATATACAAAGAATGTAACCCCTATTGTCTAAGAGCCGCACAAAGGAGTATTGAATATGGCTCTTATGGTAAATCTTGGATTATACACGCTATGCGTAGTCTAATTATAGCTGCTTTATAGTTGTACGATAGGCTCCTCTCAAGACAATGAGATAGAACCCTTTTCTGACAACATTCGCTTTCGCAAGGCGCCAAATGCCTCCTGAACTGAAAGGTTTCCATTATTTACAGCAGCGAAATTAACCCAAGCGTACCTAAGTATCTGACTGGAGAGCATACTCAGACCGAATCATTGTCTTTTATCTAGTAACGTCAATGCATTTCGCTCGCAGCTTGAAGATGCCGCTGATTCGTGGCGCCAGAGCCAGAGCCAGTTGTTAGTGTTCACCGCCCCGGGCAAGATTATTAATATACCCAATGGAATTTTGATTAGATTATACACTATATGAAAGGGCGCCGTAGAAGCGTCGAGTTTGACTATACGAATAACCGCATGATAATAGACGGTATCTTCATCAGGCGAGCTAGGCTCAAATCTCCCGTCTACTAGACTAGTTCATCTCGGAGCCATATTGCGCGTTTTGAGAAACGGGTTTAGCTAGAGTATGGCATAAAGTTCCATATCAAATTAGGTATCGTCTAGGTTCGCGGAAATGTAGTTGATAAATGCACCACGGAAAATGCCGTGTGGCCCTATACGCAAGATCCGCAAAGCATGATAGCCACCAAGAGGTTGGAGAAAGAAGATTTCTCCTTATAGGACGTCATATTATATATTGTACGTCACCCTGGCGATTTTTGAAGCCGGCAGAACAGAAGTCATGTATTTTTAGAAATCCTGGTGGACGATCTTGGAAGTTCTTGCAAGGGCACCGGGCTAAAATCATATTACTGAAGAAATAAACGTGATGGGGTAGTTCGTACTTTTAAGTGAAGGGGATATTAATCCATCAGTCAGCGGCTCGACTATATACAAAGCGATCTTGATACGCGAATAGGAACTACAGATCTAGGTAATACGGTACGACGGCGCGGAGAATCCGCGGCATAGTCCGGTCTAAGGGAACGCCAAGAAGGTGAAATATCAAATTGTTAGCTGCGAGCGTAAGGTAGTTATAGGAATGTGCAGTTTACGTAGTAAGGGTCTAATAGATCTAGAAGTATGACGTGGCCGAGGATAAACAGGGCGAAGCGAGGGTAGCACCTTGCCGGCAAATTCAGTCTCGTCGTTTAACTGCAAAGTATCAGAATCCCGACTTCGGCATCAGATCTTGCACCAACAGACCACGTCTAGATGGATAGCTGGCTTGGCGTCCTATATAAGACCCGAATATAAGTTGTCATTACTGAGTGGCGTGTCCAAGAACCTGAACCGTAACCGGCGCTCATGATCGTGCCTCGACGGCTACAGCTCGCTAGACACTATACACCAAACTACCTAGCTACAATACCTCTTTCGGCAGTGAAGCCGGTAGTCCGGGAAAGTACTCGTTGATCCGGGGAGCCGGTGATCTATCTCTCTGTCGTTATACATGAGTGCTTCAACAGGGATCATGACCCCCACGTAGAGAATAGAACATGGCACGCCTTGTAGGGTGAATGGTAGTTGCTATCCCGTTTTGGAATTATTCCATATTTGTTCCATGGGTATTTTTGTCCCGGTTGCGAATATGACAAGTGTTGTAACATCGGGCCAGGGTATACCAGGTGGCAAGATTGCCAGGATAGAGGACGGCTCGCGGATGCGAGTGATTGCATGATGTTACTTAGCTTCCTGCAAGATGAATTGGAATTTGGAATATTAAACGTGCAGGGAAAACGGAAGACGGAAAAGGAAGAAGTTTAGTAGAGTCGATGACGGTTTTTAGGATTTTTGGTTGAAGTTGAGATATTGGAACTGAGTAGGTAACAGAATCTGGGGCTTGGCTGTGGCGTCAGTTGGACCCTGTTACCTACCTGTCATCTCCATTTGGGGCCCCGGACTTGCTCCCAGACTTACTAATTTAGGGGATTTAAGATAAGACCAAGATTGGACCAAGTACGGTTGACCAGATAAGCCACTGTGCCAAAATGAAAAAAATAATTGCATATTAAATTAAAGTTAGTAAAAAATCACTTGCCACAATTTAAAAAATATTAAATGTATATTTTTAAGCTTTATTACGGTTTATTATAATAAAAATATTAATTTAATTAATATAATGTAAAAATTAATTAATTAAATTAAAAGATTTAATTGTTAATTTAATTATTAATTTAATTATTAATTATTATATTTATATATTTAAATAATTTTATAATTTTAATAATTATAACATTATAATTAATATCATTTTATAATTTTAATTAAAGTAAAAATAATTATTTAAATTATATATTTATATAATATATTATTGTTAAAATATTTAAAATTTTAAAAAATATTATATATATATATAAATTTTTAAAATAATAAATAATAAATTACTTTATATATAAATTTATATATAAAAATATAAAATGTTAATATTTTTTAATTTTATATAATATAAGTTTTTAATTAATTAATTAATTAATTAGTTTTATATATAAATATATATATTAAAAATTATTTAAAAAAACTTTGTTTTTAATTTTTTTACTTTAAAATAATTACATGTAACCGTATAATTTATAACCGATATATATAAATAAAAATAATAAAATTTTACATTTAATAAAAATATTTAAACTTTATATTATTTTATTTTAAGTAATTTTAAACTTAAATTTTATAAAAACGGGTTACGTTTATTTACGCCATGTAATGTATGGTTTATGTAATTGTATTTATAAGTTATAGGTAAAACGTTTTACAAATTTAAGTTTAAAGTTATTTTAAACCCGTAAAAAACATTTGGTATAAAATTATTAATAAAAAATAAAAAATAATATTTTTAACAATTTAATAAATTATAATAATGTATAAAATAGTTTTTATTATAATAATTTAATTTTAATGTTAATTTTTTTTTATTTTTTTAGTTTTTTTTTATATTTATACGATGTTACATTATTATATATTAAATTTTAACGTTAAAAAAAACATTTAATATAAAAATGGTAAAAAATTAATATATTAATAAATTAATTAATAATATAATTAATAAATTAATTAATAATATAATTATTATTATGTATATATATAAAATGTTTTTTATTATAATTAGTTTAATAATATTATTATTTAAACTTTTTTTTTATATATTTGTATAATTTTAAATATTATGTTTTAACGTGTGTTGTAATATGTGTTACAATTGATGCGTTGCGATTGATACGTTGCAACCGATGCGACCGATGCGACTAATGCGTTGCAACTGATGCGACCGGTGTTACGGTTAATGCTGTAATTAATTTTGGCTTAAAACGTGTATTTAATTAATAAATTTAATAAAAAGGTTAATAATGATTATATAATTAATTATTATTTATTGTAAAAACGTATTAATGTTATTATTTTAATAATTATTTTAATAATATTATTTTTAATAATGTTTTTTTATATTATAAATTTAATTTTTAAAAAAACAGGTTTTAAAAAAACTTTAAATTAAAAATTTAATATTGTTTTAAAAAGTTATAATTGGTTAAAAAATGGTGTGGTTAAAAAAATATAACTTTTTAAATTAATTTAAATTTTTAATTTAAAGTTATTTAAAATAAATATCGTTATTAAATTAATTAAATTTAATTAATTAATTTAATATAAAATTATATAAAGTTATATTAAAAATATAAAATAAAAATAAAAATAAAAATAAAAATAAAAATAAAAATAAAAATAAAAATATTATCGAATAAACGGTGTAAAATTTAATTAATAAAAAAACGTATATTTTATAAAATTTAAATAATTAAAATTATTTTAAAAATATAAATATATAATAGTAAATTTATATGGTAAAAAAAATATTTAATAATATATAATAATTTTATATATTACCGTTTTATACTTAAATATTTATTATTTTAAAAATTTATACGTACACGTAATATTTTTTAAAACAATTACTTTTAAAAAACTTTAAATATTTTAATAATAATATATTATATAAACATATAATTTAAATAATTATTTTCGTTTTAATTAAAGTTATAAAATAATATTAATTATAATATTTTAATTGTTAAAATTGTAAAATTATTTAAATATATAATTAAATTTTTTAATTTAATAAAAAATTACCTTTTTAAAATATATTATATATAACGTAAAAACGTATATATTTAAAAAAGTTAATTTTTTTTTCTTATATAAAAACGCAAAATACCGCAATAAATCGAGCTAATTGCGTTAACCTATGGCTAACTACCCTTTTAAGTTAAGCTTACAGATTTTTTTCATTTTGGCATAATGGCCTGTTTGGTCAACCGTACCAAGATAGGATTACCCCTGTAAACCTTATCAGCTCACGGCTGTCTCAGCCTCAAAGTCAAATTTTCGCAGCCTCGCATGACATGACGTCTCCAAAGTCAACAAGCTTCCATGTAGATTGTAGATTATACCAAAAAGATTAATAAACCCATGTAGATGCGCCACGATACCAATTGATACTGCACATTGCATCTCGCCTCCCCCCCCCTAAAATGGCGCACATGACCAATCCCCTCGCGACCGTCGACCAGCTATACCAGCGGACCTCCTTCAGCGCGCTACCCTCCGACCTCCAAGACGCCATCTTCTTCGCGACCCAACGTCTGACCCAAGCCGCCGGCATTCTACTACGGATCCCCCAATCCGTCACAGCACAAGCTAACGTCGTACTCGCGCGCTACTGGCTCGTCGAATCGCCCCTATCCTACGAGTTCAGCGATACATCCGCCGCCGCGCTCTTCCTCGTCGCCAAGCTCGGCGCACACCCGTGTCTACCCCGCGACGTCTGCAATGTATACGCCTACCTTCTATCTCCGAACTCCGTTCTCTCTAAGGGCGGTAATGATGGAGGAGGAGGAGGAGGAGGAGGAGGAGGAGGAGGAGGAGACGTCGACGATAAGGATAAAGGGGACCCGTCGTCATACTACCTCTCCGAAAACGCGTACGCCTCCTTCCGATCGCGTATCTTGGCGCTCGAGGCTCGCATATTGTACTCCTTATCCTTCGACACGCACGTCGCGCTGCCACACCCCTTAGCCATCACATACCTACAAGCGTTGGACTTCCTCGGCCTACCCAGAGCCGAGATCGCGCGACGCGCCATCGCCTATCTCAACACGGCGCTCTTGTCGCCGCAGCTGCTGTATCTCACGCACCAGCCGCACGCGCTCGCCGTCGCGGCGATATACTCGGCGGCGCGCGACGCTGGGGCCAAGATGCCGACGTGTGCGTGGTGGGAAGTGTTCGACGTGGACCGCGAGGAGCTCGGGTTTCTGGTTGTAGGCATGCGCAGTCTCGAGGGCTGGGTGCGGACGCAGCGGGAGGATGACGGTGTGCTGACGAGGGGGATGGTCACGCGGGCCTATGTGGAGGGAGAGATGAGGAAGAGGGGGTTAAGGATTGGGAATGGGAGTGCTGGGGCTGGTGAGGATGAGATGGAAGATGAGGAAACGGAACTTATGCGGCAGATGGATGAGAAGGCGGCGCAACTAGATGAATGAGGGCCAGAGCTAACTCGATGTCTGTGTAGACTAAATAGAGCTTAGAAGGGCGCCACGGACTGCTAGTTGGCTCCTATAACTTCATGCTATCTATATCCGGGAGTGGTGGGACAGCCATGGTTCCAGCATCTTAGTAGAAGATCTGCTACAACCAAGCTTATAATTGGCCTTTTAAAGCTAAAAGTACGAACTTAAGTCGCCCTGAGAAACTATAGGGATAGGAGAAGACGAGAATGTATTAAATAACATGACTTAACAAGGATGGTTTCCTTTGCAAGTCCTATGTAACTGATTATGACCCCTCCTAGAGAAATTTACAAACCGTTCTCCCTCCCCCATACGATGACAACCCTGCCTGTTTAGACTAACTGCCGTCGAGCGTCGGGTTGATGGTTTCCATAATATTACCCTACTCAATGAATAGACCACCTCTCGCAACGATGCAAAATGAAACATTATAGTTTCTGAAAACGCAATTATTAAGAAATCCTTATTCGGATATCCACCCCGTCCTGTTGAAGGAAGATCAATTATACAGAATGAGACATAGCTTTTCCCTGGGTATCTCATTCCTCGTACAATCGAAGATGGTTCGTGGAGTGGCGCTCCGGAAACCTGAACCGAAGATTAAGAAATGGTAGAACTGAAAACCGGGCCTGGGATTGCATTACGGTTGCGATGGCTCACTTAGAAAGGGTCCTTGGTGAAAGGTAGGTAATGGAAGTTGAGTGGCTAGCGAAAAGAGAGCGTCAACGGCGATAGTACGTATCCCTCTGCTAAGTGTCCTCAAGTAATGTTCAAAGTTTCTTGGTAGCTTCCTCCATGTCTGCAGGTAATGCGGCGTAGAATTCAATAACGAAGTGGATCTGGCATATGTATTTGGGTGATGGACTCATGAGGCATAAGCTAATCAATAATCCAATGGCCTCCGTTACGGCTTTAATGACGCCGTAGAAACGTATGAGACAGTCTCTCATAAGTTATTGTCGGCCCTAAACGGGTCGGAGGAGTCTAGCAGTAACTTAACTTGCTGAAGAAGCTTGATGGTGAATTCTTGCCGATGTATTTCGAACTCGACGAGTGCTGCGTCCAGCAATTCCTTCTCCAACTTCTTTCCGTCTTCCAGGGAGGGAGAGACCTTGTTTAAGTTGCGAGATAATTTCCTCTGCACCTCCAGTTCCTTGCATCCGAGGCCGACAGGAAGCCACTGGATGATCTCTTTGGTCTTCTGAAGGAGATCTGTGCACTTTTCATTCTTGAGTACGCGGCAGACAATGATGCATTGATCGAAAACCTCCACGACATTGGGCATCTTGAGGACGGGGTACTTCGAGTAGACTAATCGACAATTACGGTATAGGTTTGCCAGTGTTGTGCCAGTGCCTTTGATGTCCATCGCCTCAGATGGTACCATGTATAGGTTGTGCTTGTAGTTGTTCTCGACGCAGTCCATAGATCGGATCCAGTCGAAAATCAGCGCGAAATCCATATAAGGACACCATTTGTGTAGCCATTTCACCGTTACTTCGTCAGTAACTTGCAATGCAGACTTGGCGGCTAAGTCAAGAATATCTTGGCTGATGCCTTCAAATCGCTTCTCCGGGTTGTCCATTAGGACGTCTCCTAGGCTTCTTGGGGCGGGAGCAATAGTAGCGACCTGTGTTACCAACTGCAGTTTTAAGAGTCAGTTACCAGCGTCCCGTAAGTTATCGATATAGTTAGTAGAACACAAGTAGTTTACTTACAGTAGGCTTCGCGAACCGAGAATCGCAAGGACTAGGGTGGCCGAAAGGTTGCTTTTTGCCGGTCTGTTTTAGTTGGATTGCCGGTCCCAAAACTCGAAATCCAGGCTGTTGACGAAAAGCTGATCTACCAGTGCAATTACTGAACCGAAGCATATCAGACGCGGTAGCATAACTCCTCCATTGATCTTGTTGGGATTTCCTCCTTCTACCCTCACGTCGCTTTTTGGTCCTTTTAGTACCCATGTTGAAACGGCTGATAATGAAGGGGACGTGACACGGTGAGGAAAAAACTAAGAGGAGGAAGAAAGACACGAGAGGAATTTTAAAGGAGTAAGCTGGTGAGAAGTTTTTTGTGAGAAAAAAGAACGTCTAGGCAACGCTTCTTAGCTTCAAGTTTTGTTATTGACCGGGCGATGTGCTCACGGCGATATAGTCTCCATAAAACAATGCTACATGCACATACTCCTCTTATTATAACAGGGCCACCTTCCCAGGTACATACCTATGTAAAGGGGGGATTATATATCTGGAAGGTGTAATTGGGGAGGAGGGTCACTTCCTACATATCCGTATGCTGCTTCTACATGCGCATCTAGGGAAGGAGTATCTGCTTATAGACTCTACTGGATGTAGATAAAATACATACCACATTATTCCTTAACTTAATAACGTGTATGGATGACTTAAACAGATTAAGTATATTCCTAGCAATGCATCTTCATCTAAGCTGATCCCAAGATTCTGGTTTGGGAAGGGAACCCTCTATTCCACTCCAACTAAATTCGAGAAAAGATTATTCAGACATACATACCTACATATACCTATTATATATAGCTCTATTTTGTTAATATTCATATCGTTCTATTTCCTAGAAAAAGCCTAAAGGTTTAGCAGTATACAACCTATCACTTTCTTGATAATCACATAAGGTGTGTGAGTATATTAGGCGACAACTTCAAGTTGGTCCAACTACTTTATAAAAAGATTTAATCCAAGAGCTCCACTAAGAACAATCCCTCTGGAATTAGACGAGAACAACGAGTCCCAAATAGTATCGTCGGTAAAGTTGTTGTGAGGTTGGCAAACAGAGGTCTATAAAAGGGGTCGAACTGAACTAAAAGCGGAGTACACTCACGACGAGGATCCGAGATCAAAGCACCACGTTAGGCACTAAAACTGACTATGAGCATCGTTATAATAGCAAAACGATATAATACTAGAGTGCCTGCAAGTAGTTTTATTTTCCAAGACGTACAAGGCATCGATCTCAAGCGAGTAAAAAGCCTCCCATATCCAACCCAACCCAGTCCGATTCGTGCGCCACGCTTGTGCTCCCCTTTAGCATTGAAGTTGCCTTATACCCTATACAGGTCATATAGTCTAGATACCCCTTACTTTAACAGGCTTCCCACATCTTGCAGCCGTATATTATCCATAGCGAGAGTGTTCCCTCCTCTATCTATCCTACCCCAACCAACCCCCCAACCGGGCAACACGCCTGCGTTCGCCACCATCGTCTCCCCTGACGTGGCGAAACCCGCCGTTGAGCTCGAGCTAGCGGCGTAGTCGCCCGCGTTATCGCTGTTGGGACCGCTATTGCGTTTCCAGAACTTCCGCCCTTTTTTCGGCTGAACGTTCTGGACTACCGATTCGGGTATCGTCATGATACCCGTCCGACCGCTCGGTGCCATGCGCGGGTAGAAGAAGCCGGCTGGCTGACCGCCCGAAAACGGGTTCCACCATCGGCCCTTAGACCGTTCAATGATGCTGCCGTTACGGCCCGAGTTGTACGATGTCGGAGGCTCCCCCGCTAGCTCTTCGAGGGTATAACCCTTAGTTTCGGGAATGAGCAGCGACGAAAATGTCCCGCAGAGCATAAATAACGCGAATATCTGCATCAGCCGGTCGAGCCAGGGTGTGCATGCTTTCCCCGAGCAAGGGTTAGGGGCGTCCTTTGTGAGAAGCGGCAAGGAAATGACTTGTGCGATGATAGCACCCACTTTCCCCATAGCTGCCGAAAGCCCGTGTCCGGAGGAGCGGTATCGTGTCGGGAAGCACTCGCCGGGGACGATGAAGGTAGTGGTATTGGGACCGAAATTGAAGAAATAGTTTGCAATGACATACAGGGCCAATAAAGCACCCTTGCTGAGGCTATTATACATGAATCCTAATACGCAAAAGGTAATAGTAAGTATAACGAATCCAATAATCTGGAGTGGTTTGCGACCAATACTATCGATCGTCAGTATGGCAGTCCAATATCCAGGCAGAGAGCCTGCGACGACTAGAATGATCGTGCCGACTGCGCTGTTGAACAATATTGTGTAAAGCGAGTCCCCATCGGCGTAACCGATTGCTTGTAATATTATTTGGTTATTTAACCCTAAACCATAGAAAGCTAGGTCCTGCGTCTTAAGGTTAAACAGATTCGATCAAGAAATTAGTTAAGGGATACGTACTAGGAAAAACCACGACAGGGTCGTTCCCAGCAGGACTTTAGCGTTCTTCCATTGTGTAAAGTAAAGGTATAAGTCGTGCCAAGACGCTGAAGGTATGTTGAGTGCTGGAGCGGCGACTTTCTTCATCCTCGCTTGAGTGAGTTCATCTACCTCTCCTTCTGACTGGCTCGACATATATGCCTTGATATCAGCCGCCGCTTTCTCAATATCCTTAGCTACCTCAAAGGTATATCTAGGCGTTTCGGGGATCGTAATGCGGTAGTAGAGAGCAAAACAAGCCGGAAAAGCTCCAACCCCCACAATAATACGCCAGCATCGATCGGCGGCTGTCTGACATGCGTAGTCGCATTGGTCGACTGTCGGGGCGTTTCCGAAGGCGGTCTTGAAAGATGCGGTAACAATAAGGGCTACGACGGCAGCCAGCAACTGTCCCATCCCTTGCATGGAAAACACTGCGGCCATCATAGCGCCGCGCCATCGCGTGGGCGCAAACTCCGAGGTGATGACAGCGCTCAAAGGATAGTCCCCTCCTATACCGACTCTGACCATGGCATTAGCACAAATTCGCGCGTAATATTGTTCGTCACCTTACCCCATCATAACCCTCCAAAACGTCATTAGTCCGGTGAAGCTTATAGCTTGAGAGGCCGCAACTATGTAAACGTTAACTTTTGGAATTTCAAGTCCTATTAATAGTTCTCCGTACTTGGAAGTTTAAGTGACCTATGAGGGCCGTAGCGTAGGGGGGTTATGAAGAATTGGGTTCCAATTAAGGATATTTCTATACTTACCCAAGCAACAAGAGAGAGTCGAGAAGACGATAATGCCTAGCTCAACTCCGTACATCCGCCTTCTTCCGAACTTATCTGCCAACCAACCAAATAGGACCTGACCTACGATGATACCCGCGCTCGTTGACGCCTTCAGAGTCTGGCTGACGGGGGTCGGTAAGTGTCCAAAGTTCCCTCCATACCCATTCTTCGCATCCTCCGGTGCTCCGTGCCAGAACACAACACCGAGCAGCGTCGTTACGAGATTGATGGCGAAGATATCATACGAATCAAGAAAAAATCCTATACCAGCGACTAACACAGCCCTCACATGGTACATTCCAAAAGGTACTTTATCGATTTCTGATAGCGCGAGCCGTCGCCGTAGGTTCGGGTCTTGGATGTGGCTGAAGTCGTTGAAGAAATTATGAAAAGCTCGATTGCCGCCATACGTCCGGTCATACGTCGCCGGCGTCATAGGCTCCGGAGTGGCCATTATCGAAAGCTCGACAAGCTTTTGCTTTATCGTAAGTGTTTCGCGATATCGGCCGCGGACGAGGCTACGATGTGTTCATGGTGCTATTTGTTAGACGAGCCTTCCGTCTACGTGGGACTATACAATGCGGCTATACCCGTCGGAACCGCACGTCTTACGGCTGTCGATCCTGTGAAACCGACTTGCTATCGAAAAGATACGGATCTGACGGTTAAAATGCGCTGGGTATGGAATAGAAAATAGTGATAAATAATAAAAAGTAAACGAAGAGGGACCGCCAGGCGCTTGGACCCTCTAGTAGGTAAAACGAACAAAGTTGTGTAAGCCCTTCGAGATCTAAGACAGAGCCTCGATGCGCACCAGGGTAGGGAGGGATGTGATCTGACGCACTCCGAAGATCATTACGGTAATTAAACCTTTTTCTGTGTCTGACAAGGCTCCTAAAGGCGCTTAGGGGTTAAACGTTAGATACATGGGCTGAGGGATCTTTCGTTAGGATGACATCCAATGTAATACGGCAAAAGAAGATGAATGCTGAAGGTCAAAGATGTAAGAGGCGCAAGAGTCTAGATCCTAGACACGCCTCTTAGGTGATGTTCTTAAACTAGCCTCAAGTAGCCTTGACACTCCGTTCCACGACCTACCTATCTGTGTTTTGGTGCAACGCTTTGTCGGACGACAGACCAAAGTGACATGGTGTCGAAAGGTGATGTGATGTGTTAATCAGGAACGTTAGGCTTTATGACTATCGTAAACCTAACAGCCCCTTCATCACCACGCTCGTCTACCTAGCATTCGGACCGGGGGTGGGTATCGTGATTGGCTTTGGAACTGGAGCTGCTCATTGCCATATGCATGACTTCGGTGAGGTTCAAGTGGGACTCATCCCGTCCAGACCACATCGTAGAGAATCTGGGCTCGCACCAAGGGTGAGATGAGCCCGCTCATCTGGCTCTAAAAACGTGGGAGGTAGTATCACATGATTATACGAAGGCTGAAATGAACATATTCTACGCGCCGACCAAGATTCTCGAAACTACATGTACCTAAGTAGGTCGTAGGTTCAGGGGATCCTTCGGGCTTGGCAGGGTACGGCAAGGATACGGCAAGGATGCGGGCATAGGTACAAGATGCAGTCGCGAATGAGCCGCGTTACGGCGGGTGCGAGTGGGATTTCGCGGGGCGAATTGACGCACGTACCCACCGGCCCGCGATTTAGAGTTTAAAGATTACTTAAGCACCTTATCAACTTAAGTCCCTTAGTTCAGACCCTTTTTTTCCCATCTCAATATCGATGAAGCCGAAGCGTGAATATTATTTGACGCGTGGCAAATGCTTTTTAATCTTAGAAGTATCAGCTTCATCCCTCTGCAGGAGGAGAGGACCTAGGATGAAGCTGTGCAAGCGGTCTAATGAGAAACCATTTAGCTTGGCGGCAAATGTCCAAGAAGCCATCTTATGCAAGACGATATCGCCAATCGGAACACAGAATTTCGGAACGTGGTCTAAACTATTCGATCCCAACATACAGGTCTGCAAGCCACCACGCTTCTATATGTTACGCGCTACGATGCAGTACCTAGGCTAAGTCGTCATATTTACATTGCAGGTACTTCAATTCACAGGCGTCAAACAGAAACACCATTCACCTTGAACCGTAACGGTAGCCATTTGTTAAGCTTAGAATACGTAATATATATCCGAGATTAAATAATACAAACCTGCAAAGTCAGCAACGCGACTATCATTAACCTTTTTTGGGAGGAGAGGAGGGAAAATCCTCGTGGATTTTTGTTAGTTGCGGATACCTATGTACCTTATAAGCATGTGGTGGACCTTCTAAGAACCACAAAGTATAAAACTCAGGCCGGCACATATGTTGTATAACCGTAAGATTTAGGCTATTTAATATTCCTTCTGGAATAAGGGTTTCAAAATCATGTCCCGATCCTACAAATACTTGGAAAGTAGATTGTTTAGTTATTCCTGATATAATCTATGCTTGTTAGAAGCTAACCTTACTTCCTAAGTAGTATATAACTAGTATAAGTTATAGCTTCCGGTATTCGTTGACATTATTATGCATCCGAGTTACCGATACCCACTGAAACCCCAAATTTGCACGTATGCAAGTTTATTTGGCTCGGGTCAGCGGCACCACACGCTACCTCAGCAGATGCTACTATAGGTGGTTCAGTTGGATGCGCATGTCATGGGCAGGATGTCTGATTTGACGCTGACTATCTTTACCAATAACTCGGGACGACTAGGTAGACATGCCATGTTCTGTATGTCTCTCGATCCCGGACATAACCCGGTACTGCCAAGTATTGGCTCCGGATTTCGAAACATGGTTTAATCGCGGTAGAAATAAACTCAAAGTAAGCAATTTTCTCAACTCAAATAACTCCAATATCAATTCATTTGTCGTAGTCTATGCGCATGAGCTATTCACCACGCCGTGATATCTTCTACTTCTACTTCTGCCTCTCCGAAAGTGCTCGATTTAGTTATCCGACCGACGTTAGCTGCCTCCACGTGCTCGCCTTCTTTATTCATAATGTCCGGCAGCGTCTCGTGTAAGAACTCTAGGATATACTTGTTGACTTGTTCGAACTGCAACAGAAAGGCATCGTGGCCTTCTTGACTGTCTATCTTCTCAAGCCGGGCATTCTTGATGTGCTCCGCTAACTCTTGTTGCTCAGCAAATGTGAAGAGCCCGTCACTTTCAATCCCCAAAACTAAGGTGGGCTGCTCAATGAGAGCGAGTGCCTCGGCGACGGTACTAGCGCGGTATCGAGAAACATCGTGCGTGTCTAGTTTCCGCGTGATCGCAATATAACAGTTACTGTCAAAGCGCTTGACAAATTTCCCGCCTTGGTAGCGAAGATATGACTGAGCTGAGAAGTAGGTTGTGGTTGGCAACGAATTACTTTCAGTAGAAATGTCTGTCTTCGGGCCGGAGAATTGGGGATCTAGTGATTGACCATTGGTATCATTATGAATGCCCGCATCGGCCTCACTGGCGTGGCTATTGTTCCTTGATAACCGAGTTGTCTTGTGCCCATCATTGTGAATATGAAAATGAGCCTCGGATGGAGTGCTCGGGCGGGGTCTTTCCCTGATGGTTTGGCGCCTAGCCGGGTCTGGGATATTGCGCCCAAACCGTGCCTCAAAGGAATTCCGACTCCGGTAGGTCAAAAGGGCGGACATACGGGCGGCTCCAAGGCCGGTCGTAGGTGGATCGGAGAATGAGTAATATCCATCATCATACTTTGGGTCCGCATATATGCTCTGTCGTTGGGCTTCGCCCCAACTAATTCCCCAAGCGCTATGGCGGCTTGAAGTAGCGATCGGAACAATACTCCGAACATAATCCTTGCCGAAGTACGCCCACTCAAGCACAAGCATACCGCCCATGGATCCACCGATGACGGCAGCTACCTGGCGTACGCCTAGGTCGTCGAGAAGAAGCTTATGCAAACTGTCTCAAGTCAGAAGTGAAGATGGAGTTCGGCTGGGTTCGACCTACTTGACATCGTCTCTTATTGTGGTAAGAGGAAATTCGGGGCCGTATCTCTCGTTGTTCGGATCGCCATCCTTGACGGTTACTGGGCTGGCCGTGCCATAGGGGCTACCTAAACTGTTCATACAGACAATGAAGAATCTAGAAGTGTCAAATGCCCGGCCAGGACCGCCGAGAAGAGGTCCCCACCAATCGCTAACATCAGCTGAGCCCGTCAAGGCATGACAGATGACCATAGCATTGTCTGCATTCGGAGACAGCTTTCCTCGCGTTGTATATGCCAATGGCACATTCTGTAGAGTAACTCCAGACTCGAGAGTGAAGCTTGGAATAATGGCAATTTCCTGGTCTGGAATCAGACTCGCGAATGGGTTCTCAGGTTGCTGCTGAGTTCTTTCTTCCAAGTATTCAGTCACTGCTCTATACCATAAACGCTTGGGAGTAAAGGGAGTAAAGAAGCAGCTGCATTAAAAGCACGCAAATAGAAACCACGATAAGAAATGAATTCTGACTGACCATATTTAGGCTGCTTGCCAGTAATAGCTTCCTGTGTCATTTTGTCGTATGACAGATAATTCTGTATGTATAATAGTCTGATAGACGTATAATAGGCAAGAGGAAGATATATTAGGTACAGAATAGAGGTAAGAGGTACCTATGTAGGTAGTTAAACGAATAATAATTCAAGACCGTATCAATCTCTCGTATACGTTACGATATAATTCGCTAGGTAATCCGTTTCTGGGAGATGTAACAAGATCACTGCGTATGTTTTATATGGTTATCTGTATTTATACCAGATTTGATTCGCACGTCATTCCGTTACATGCGCAAGATGCAGATGGTGTTCAATGATGACTCCCACTCTAGATATCGGGGGTGTATGTACCTGACGTAAGGAGGGAGATACCAATAAATTTTCGCTTATGTAAGTATGTTCTCAGTGCACGGATGGCGATTTTGCAGGCAGGCAGGCAGGCTGGCCGTTTTGGTAGTGGGTCCGAGCGAGATATGTACTTATGTTAGGTACTTGGGGATGTATTTGATACTTTAGTTAACCAGACAGTACGCAAACAAATCAAAGTTCCTTTTACAATCAATTTACCTACATGCAGCCTTACCTTTTGCAAGCTCTGAGGCTGCGTCGTCCAAAATCCACCACGCGATAGGTAGCTTCTTCATTCAACGCGACCGCCGTCCTGCCGAACGGGCATCATTCCTTCACAGCCAACTCAACGTTCTCCCCTTCTCTCAAAAGTAATCATCTCCCACTATTCACCATTAGCGACCGGCTAGCCATCTATAGGAGGGGTGACGCTGTACAACACTCAAACAGTCACGCTTTCTTTGTTCGCATTCATAGAGTGCTTCAAACTCTTATCATCAATTCATGGTTTTTTCATTTCTCTTACTCGTCACTATTTCTCTGGCAATGCTGCACGGTTATTCCGATTACTTGTCAGAAATCATCGCGGCCCCCTCTAGCAACAATATTCATCTAGGTTTACACTAAGTATGATACGCTGAGGTCTAATTCTCATCGCCTTCTGAACATATCCGCTACTACTAGCCTTTCGGTTTCTAGCCTCATCTTCGATGCCCTTTTCTGTGACATAGAATCTGTCGCACACAATCAAAATGCCTCCAAAGCGAAAGAGGAACGAGCGGCCATCCGACGCTGGAGCAAATCGGCCGGCTCCTCATCGTCCTTCCGACACAAATCTCGCCCAGCATGATCGAGATTTCCAAGATAGTCCTTCATCGCAGAATCGCCGTGCATCAAGCGGTCGCAATACAAGGAGAAATGCCGACCGTCGCGATTCGTCAGGCAATCAACTAGCCGCTACAGGTCATCGAGGCCCCGTCTCTCCATCAACTGTTCGACCATCTAGTTCATCGTCGCAGGCTGCTCCACCTACGATACCCTCTACGCCATCCGCTCCTCCCCAATCTAGCCAACCTCGACCTCCCATTCCTTCCAACTATAACTTCGCTGTATTAACAGAATCGCGACTCTCCACGTGGCAGCAGAAAGGCCGCCAAGATGTTGTTGAGCATGGCATCAAGTCTCGTAACGACGAAGACGTTGAAGAAATCTCAACTATATCTCAAGAGTTCACACGTGCTGTTCTTGAAGGGCGCCTTAACCCAACCGACGCAGGAATTTGCGTAAAACAAATCCTCGGGCCAGCGGTCGAGAATGCCGATGGTCCTGGGTTTGGTTTTGATGCACAGAGACTATTCCTCGACACGCTTTCAATTTTCATCGATTCTGAGGATGGTGCATCCAGGCCACAACTACGGGACTTTGTTGCTGCCACGGAGATATCTCCCAAGATTTTGCGCGAAGTACTGGACGCACCAGCCTTACAGCAACTTGGGTTAATCCGTGAAACCTTCGTCAAATTAGGCATCAGATATGCCACGAATCAACTGTACCGACAAGCCAATTATAACCTGCTTCGAGAAGAGTCTGAAGGATATTCTAAGCTTGCCGCAGAACTCTATCGCACACCGTATTACGCTCGAGACCATCAGGACTTTGCTCTTGTGCAAGCTTGTTGGGAGCGTGTGAAGGGTTTAATTGGAACGTTCGACCTTGATGTTGGTAGAGTTCTGGATGTTGTCATTGACGTTTTTTCCGCAACGATGCTAAGAAACATCGTATTTTTCTCGAGATTTTTGCGAATTAGTTCTTGGTGGCCTCGCAATCAGGTCGAGCATTCTGAAAGGGTGTTCGCAGGCGGCCTACCAAAATGGGCTTTGCCACAATATGAAAACGCCAATCCCGAGGATCTCAAAGCCGAGCTTGTCGAAAGGTGCTATCAGCGTGACCTGGCGTTCTGGGATAGAGCTCGAGAAATTCACTTGGATGCCTTTTTTGAGCTTGGTGGAAGACGTGTTGAAGACATCGATCAATACGACTCTACGGAAACTACTTCTGGTCCTAACGCGAATAACGACTCTAGTCTCGATTGGATAAAAACTACGAAGACCCTTCCACCATGCGGCAATAAGATAGCTGCACAGTTATTGGGCTTCAAATTTCGATTCTATGCGTCCGACGCTCGAGCTAAGCTCGAAGCACTACCAGCGAATCTGTACTATCTTGCTGCCTTCTTCATTAAAATTGGGTTTATTTCTCTGCCTGATCTTTATCCTCACCTCTGGCCGAGCGATACCCAGATGGAAGCCTTGAGGGAACGACGAGAAAAGGAGCTCGAGGAAAAAGAGTTACTTAAGAGACACGGTAACGAGCCAAACGCTCTCCTTACAGCTGGAGCTCTTACCGATGACACCTTACCAACCTCTTCCAAACTACGGGAATCTACGGTTGCGAATGGTGACGGCAACGAGCAAGATGCGAATACTACAAAGGAAGACGACGAGACGAGTCTGCCCGACCCACAAGAGGCTCATAAGGCAGATCTAGTAACCCACTTGTTGGTTGTGGGTGCCATCCCTGAAGCTTTATTCATCATCGGTCGCTTTCCTTGGCTTCCTGAAGCATATCCCGATGAAATATATCCGGCTCTAAATCGTATTCTACTACATTCCATCAACAAAGTCTTCCAAGAAACCCGGCCTGTTGAGATTCGACCCGTGACCAACCATTCCATCAAAGCAGAACTAGCTCAGGATCAATCTGGGATGACAAAGGGCAACCTAAAGCTTACCGATGGCTCCCCCGTAAAAATTCTGAAATGGCCCCATCCCGACGGTAGCCACAAAGGCATCATCTACCGGTTTTACCTCGACGAATGGGCAGATAACGTTCCTATATGTCAAACAGTCGATGACGTTTTCACGCTCTGCAGCACGCTCCTCAACGTATCCGGTGTTAATATCGGAAGGGAACCTTCTCTAGTCAAGAAGTTAGCCGCCATTGGCGTGAAAAGCTTCTTACAAGACCAGTCGCCAGAAAATGTAGCGCGTTGGCAAGATCTTCTTCGTCGCACACTTGTCCCGTCGCTATGCCTTTGCGATGCCAACGTCGATGCCGTAGGTGCGGTTTGGAATCTTCTTAAGTACTATCCGACACAGGTTCGCTATAATATTTACTCGGAGTGCTATGAAGGGCAAATGTCTCGAATTCCTGCCATGGCTAAAGCTTTCAGGCATGCCAAAGCAGGCACGATAGCTACTTTAAAACGGCTTTCTTACCAGAATATTTCTAGTTCTGCAAAGAAGCTCGCCAAAGTGGCACTGTCGTCGCCCGGTATCGTATGCAAGGTCGCCCTTGAACAGATCGAGGCCTATACCAATCTCATTGAGGCATTTGTAGAGTGCACGAAGTACTTTACGGAAATGGGCCATGACGTTCTTGTTTGGTCTCTCTTGAGCTCACTGGGTGGCAAAGAAAGGAGCAGAACCCAGGAGGCATCTATACTGTTGACCAGTCGATGGCTGCAGGCTCTATCCAAATTTTCGGGAAGGGTCTTCCGACGGTATAGCAATATGGATCCGACGCCCGTCATTTATTACGTGAACGATCAAATCACTCACGGGAACCCCACCGACTTAATAATTCTGCGGGAGCTCATCACTTCCATGGGCGGAATTGTCTCGGACATTGATTTCACGGACGCCCAATTATTCGCCCTGAGCGGTGGTGAGGTTCTACGACGCCAAATGCTGGTTAGTTTAGGCGATAAACGGTATGAGTCCGCTAAGAGTGCTGCTCGTCTTATGAAGGCTTTAGTACAGACGGATCTCGCTTGTCGACTCCTAACAAATATGGCCCAGTACCGACAATCCGCCATCTATCATCTACCGGAGAATGAAACACATATCAAGTACTTGGCAACCGTGATTGACGACTCACAGCAAGCTCTCGTTCAATATGTAGAGCTGCTGCGAAATAACCTAACCCCCGAGCAATTCGATGCACTTATACCTAACATCCCACGGTTGATGACGGATTTTGGCCTTGACGCTAATCTTGCCTTTATGATAGGCCGAGCCAGTCTCCAGTATTTCATGATGGGTCCTGGAGAGAAACTCTCTGTTGCCACCTCCGAATCAACGCCAGATGCAGAGACCGATTCATCCAATGAAGCAAAGGCCAATGATGGTGCACCGGTCACCGTTAGCCAAGACGGCGAGGATCATATGGCAGTGGACGCACCGGATGTAGATGAGGCAACTCAGCCTCAATTACCACCAGCAGTAAACGGTCAGAAACCTGACCGGTTCTTAGAAGTACTCAGCCCCATCGTCAACGCTGTTCGAACTATATTCCCTGCAGAAGTATGGGACAAAATCAATCCCGAATTCTTTGTGCTTTTTTGGTCTCTGCAGACGGGAGATCTCGTGGTACCGATGAACAGTTATGAAGCCGAGATTACCAGGGTAGAGAAACAGTATACCGAATTAAAACGAGAACGAGGCGATATGAGTACCAAGAAAAAGTCCCTTGATGCTCTTATCCAGCTTAACAAGGATCTCTCCGCTGAAGCTAGTACTTGTCACGAACGAGTGAGCAAGACCAAGATATTACTTATCAAACAGAGTCCACGATGGTTTGTCTCATCAGCAAAAGCAGAATCTATTGCTGATACATTCATCGAAGAATGCCTCATCCCGCGAATTTTACTATCGCCTAGCGATGCAGACTTCTGCCACCGAATGATCCGGTTTATGCACTCGAGTCGAGTGCCAAATTTCAGGCTCATGGACTTATATGACCGATTCTTCGGTGTAAATAGGCTGCGTCTGATGATATTCGGCTGCACGGTTCGGGAAGCCGAATTTCTTGGCCATTTTATTAAGCTTACATTGGGCGACCTTGCAAAGTGGCACAAGGATAAGGATATATACGCCAAAGAAGCAATACAGAACGGGAAAATTGGGTTTGCAACAGCCTTTGAA